TCCCCCCCATTATCTGAGCGAAGACACTTCAAAGATTTACCAGCCTGTCTCTCCACCATTGCATGAAACCTTTTGAAGTATTTAAAAACTTCACCCTTCGTCCTCAAGTAATACACCCACAATTTTCGTAAAGCATCATCGATAAATGTCACGAAATATCTGCTACCACCAAGACTCTCCACTTCCATGGGTCCACATACATCAGAATACACCATCTCCAACACATTCTCTTTCAGCTTCGAGGTTTTGCTGAAAGACACTCTATGATGCTTCCCAAAGAGACAATAATAACAAGGATTGAGTTTTGAATCTTTGGCAAATGGGATGAGGGACTTTCTTGCCAAAATTTGTAATCCTTTTTCACCAATGTGAGCCAGTCTTTTGTGCCACAAATTTGGCGAAGCATCATCTTCGACTGCATTCAATCCACCCTTGATCAGCTTCACTTGAGTTCTGTACAGTGTCGATCTCACTGTACCTCTAGCAGCTAACAACGATCCTTTGGTAAGCCTCCACGTGGCGTTACCAAAATTGTTAGTATAGCCTGCTAGATCCAATGCATGCACAGAGATCAGATTTAGACGTAAGTCTGGTATATGTCGTACGTCCTTCAGTGTTATTGTGCACCCAATATCGGTTTGAATGCACACATCACCAACCCCCACAATATTTGCAATGCTATTGTTGTCCATCTTTACTTTACCAAAGTCTCCTTCTTTGTATAGAGTAAAGAATTCCTTGTGAGAGGTTGCATGGTATGATGCTGCTGAGTCAATGACCCATTCAACACATGAATCTGCAACGTGACATTCTTCTTCTTCAACAGAGAGCAACACCACTTCCCCATTAATCACAGGGGTTGCGGTATTTTCAACGTTTTCTGATTTGTTGTTCCTCCAACCTCTGTTCTTCCAGGCTTTGCAGTTTCTTTTGATATGCCCTTCTTCACCGCAGTGATAACACTTGAACTTTCTCCTGGGTTGAGATTGTGATTTATCTCTGGCTTTGCTATTCCGGCCTCTGCTTTTACTTCTCCCCCTGGTTTCTGTGACCAGGGCTTGGGAGCTGCTTGCCCCTGAGTCTTTTCTCCTTGTTTCTTCATTAAACATACTGTCTTTGACTTGGGTCAAAGTCAGTTTTCCCTCAGGGGCAGAGTTGCTCAACGAGACCACCAGAATCTCCCAGCTATCCGTTAAAGAACTCAAAAGTAACAGCGCCTGGAGCTCTTCGTCAAGTTTCATCTCCATGGTAACAAGTTGGTTTACCATGTCTTGAAACTCATTCAGGTGCTCTGCAACTGATCTTCCATCCCGATATTTTAAATTTACAAGCTTTCTAATGACGAAAGCTTTATTTTGTGCAGTCTTCCTCTGGTACATCTGTTCAATTTTGTTCCACAGAGTATGAGCTTTCGACTCTGTGGCAACTTGGTGGAATATGCTGATATCCACCCACTGTCGGATTAAACTGACAGCCTTCCTGTGTAACTTTTTCCAATCGTCATCCTTCACGTCATCTGGCTTGTTGTCTCCCTTTTCTACAGGATCGTACAGATCTTTGTAGAAAAGTATGTCCTCCATTTTTGGCTTCCAAATGGAGTAATTTGTTGCTGTGAGTTTCACCATAGTACCCACGTTCTCCTCCATTTAATTTACACGGGTCGAAACAGAGCCCAACTTGAGCTCTGATACCACTTGTTAGGCTCAGATGCGCAATGCGGAAAATGTAAATTAAAATATTAAAGTAAAATGGTGAATAATAATCCCAATCCGAGCAACTCAAGAATGACAAAAGAAAATCTCTTGCAATAATACCGGAATAATTCTTTTTTGATGTAGAAGTTCAGATTAAACTGCGACCACAGAGCATACTAAGAATATTTCAAATAAATAAAATATGCAAGAAATAAGACACCAAGATTTAACGTGGAAAAACCTCCAAATAGAGGAAAAAACCACGGGACAACCTCCGAACAATTCCACTATATTTTCAAGATAATTACAATATCTTTTCACACTTCCTTACACTAGAAATATAAAATATAGTGACCCAGTGAGACCACACTCCTAAACAAAGAGTAATAGAGTTGATACCCAACCCGGTGTATTTTTCCCACACTCAAAAGATTTACTCGAACACTTTATTTTTATATCACTGAAAAATAACACTCCAGAAAATTTCCTTTCTGATCTTTTTCTTTCTCGCTTCTTGGTGCATCTTTCCCTCTGCTGAATGCCTCTATTTATAGGTGGGGAATGCAACACAACTGTTGCTGTGGTGGGCGCAATTGCCACCATTGCTGTGGCTTATGGTTTTTACCGACGAGCAAGGTGAATCATTGTCCCGTTATGTACCAAATATTCGGTGGGGTTTTCTAGTTTAGGAAAAAAAAGGTGGCTGTATGTGCTGTTATTTTTGTTGAAGTTGACTGCACTTCAGATGTTGCAGAAGGCAAATGAATCTCTGTCAACTGATTTGTTTCATATATGTGGTTGCAAGTGGTCCTTGTTTTTGCTTTAACTTCTCTGTTCCTTTCCTTATTTTCTTCTTTCATTTTCCATCCTTTTTTGTCATTTTGCAGGTTTTGTCTGAGGGACCATGTGATCCTTGATGCATTTTCCATTTCTTATTGTGTCTCGGGTTATCAATTAGTATATTATCCGAGTTTTACCATATCTCAGACTATCTTTATTCATAACCCAACCCAACCCAACCCAACTCAATTCTTTTAATAAAATACTCATTTCTCTCTCCTCCACTTACACAACCCACAACCCAATTCTATTTCTACTTTTATCCATGACATCAACCCAACCTAATATTTTTTCTTTTCACTTTATTTTTAAATAAAATTAGATATATTAATTTGTATTAAATTAAAAAATAACAAAAAATGTGTGAAGAATAGAGAGAAAATATAGAAGAAGAAATGTGTGAAGAAAAGAGAGGTTGTATTTGGTTGTGAAATTGTATCAATATTATACTCTATTTATAGAGAAAAAAAAATATGAATTTTGATATAATTTTTATTTATTTTTTATTTAAAATTATTTACAATATTATTAATTTAAAAACATAACAAAAAAAAAAAAAAAACAACCAACCAAAAGCTGCCAAGTGGCAGCTTGTGGTTCATTAAAAAACAGGTTGGTTCATCAACCTAGGTCATCAACCCTCCTCTTATTAAATTGAATTTTTATTTTTTTTTTTATTTTTTTTTTGTCTGTTTCTCACGCCACCGCCCCCGGTGGCGTGAATAAAGATAGCCTCAGTGTTCTAAAAGTCGTTAGGCGCCCGCTAGGCGTTCGACCAGCGCCTAGAGCGCTTAGTCGGGGCCTAGAAATCAATATTAAACACCTTATTTTTATTTATTTTAACTACCTACATAATAAAATTATCTCAACTTATAATAAATCGACACTCCTAGATCTAAATAATAACTTATTATATTTTAAACGAAAAATGAGAACATAATAATGTAATTAGTATTTAAAAAAATAAAAAAAATCTAAAAAATTACTGCCGAGTCCGCCTAGGAGCGCCTATGCCCGCCTAGGCGTCGCCTAACCGTCTGGCCGTCGAGTCAGTCAAGTCCGCCTAGGAGCGCCTAGGGCCGCCTAGGCCCGCCTAGGCGCCGCCCAGGCGCTGCCTAGCCGCCTGACCCATTTTTTTTGTCGATTTGTGCAAATCGCCGCCTAAGCCGATTTTTAGAATAGTGCCATATCTATAACATATAATTTGAGTTTTTTTTTTTTTTCATCATAGCACATTACTGATCTACTGCTTCAAATCGCATTGCAATTGCCATACCACTACATGGCATTAACTTGAACAAAACACATTGTAAAAACTACTTTATGTACACCAAAAAGAGGAGAGGGGAATAACACATAACTAAAGCAAAAGGACACAAATCCATGACTTAAAAACTGATGGAGACGAGATCGTGATTGTGTTTCTAAATAAATATGATCGTATTGAGAGCCTTATATATAAAGGACTCTCCTGCTTTTATTGTTACTGGGCGAATTGATAATAAGAATTGATTGAATTTTATGAGTTTTATCGAGAGAGTATCTCGTTAATTCCCATCCGTACGCTTCCCTACATCAAAAACTCATAGCTCTAAGGACATGATATAACCTAGTAGACGAAATATTGCTACCAAAACTTGCAGGAGATTTAGCTAACTTACCAAAAAAAAAAAAACAACTCCTCCTATGCTTAGTTCTAAGCTAAACCCTCAAATCCCATTGAATGGGTTTACTTACTCCTCCACAGTTGATGTCCTAAGCTTGGCGATCATCTCCTCGACAAGATTGTCATCCATATCAATCCGCCTCATAACCTCCTCTAAGGCCGCGTTATGCGAGTCCCTACCACGAGAAGACGACGTGTCCCTAAGTAGATCAATTAAGGCTTTGGCTTTGTCACGGGCAGCCCAAGTCCCATCCACGCTCAATTGCATCAGCCCTGGCATTGCCCCATGTCGGAGGATCATCCCTCGATGCCTCTCCCGACACCTTCTGCATATCATAAGCAATATCCCTACCGCATGCTCTTGGCAAGCCATTGACCCTTCCTCCACGCACTCCACAAACATCGAGATCACCTCCGAAACCTGAAGATTCACAAGTTCAAAATTTTATTATAAAAGTCAAGTGTTTTTTTTTTTTTATTATTTCTTTTTTTTTTTATTTTTAAATAATGGTGTATATATGTTACAACTTCTTACAGTACCTGATCCAAGGCAACTTCGGACGATGAAACAATGGTCTCCAGCAAACCCATAGCCTTCTCAGCAAGCTCGGACGAATTGTCGACACCGTAAATCAGCTGAACGAGCGTGATGAGGCCACCGGCTTCCACAAAAGAGGGGACCACCTTCACACAAGTCGAGAGGTTTTGCAGAGTTGAGAGGATATGGAGCATCCCTCGGTTGCTTATGGTCTGGCGGACGGTGAGCCGCGAGTCCAGAATCCCGATCAGGGCCCGAACTGCCCCTAATGACGCAATCTCCATCCTGTTGACCGAGCAAGTTGAGAGGACCGAAAGGCCCGCCAGAGACAGCTCCATTAGGCTCGACTTCCGCCACTGGAGGATGTCGAGCATGCCCGCCACTGCCCCTGCCTGTACTATGCGAACCTTGTTCCTGCATAATTACACAAAACAAACTCAGATTTTTTGCCTGAGACATATGTTGTAGAGTAATATATTATACAGATGATATTTCTTAGCTTGACCAACCTTTCATTTCCAAAGGCAAGATTGAGCAGAGCAAACAGAGCAGCTTCAGTGGAGTCATAGTCCTGGTTATGAAGCATCATGACCAAAACAGGAAGGACCCCATTTTCTATTAATTTCTGCTTTTCCCGGCCGTCGAGCTTGCCGATTCCTCTGGCAGCTGCGATTGGGGCTTCGTTCTTGCCTACCGAAGGACCATCTGCCATGGACTCTGCGACTTAGCTCACACAGATTGTCTATAAGTTTCTATATGTCTGTGTATGTGGAGTACTGAGTATAGTGATTGCTTGAAGATGATATTTGTTTGAATTAGAAGCAATGCAGAAGAGTATTCCCTCGTGGCTTCTTCTGTTGGTAACAAACCTCAAATGGGAATATCATTGGAGTGAATCTTTATCTTTCCTTTTATAGAAGTAACAACTTTTCAGCTTTGGAGTTGGGATGCTTTCATCAGTATTAGAGAACTTACAGTAATGGTTAGTATAGTTTATTAAAGCTCTTAAAAACAGTGGTTTCATCTAAGTCGAGCGCGTTTCGGTTCGGTTCAGTTCGGTTCAATCCGTTAGCTGTGTACCAAAAAGTTCACAATTTATCAAAAATAAAAAATCTTATATATATATATATATATATTAATATTTTTTGATCAAAAAAAGTCTAATATAAAAATTTGATTATGAATAACAAATTGATATGTATCACCATTAGAGCTGTAAACTATCCGAACGTTTGCGAACAAAAGCTCGTTCGAGCTCGTTTGTGTTCGACAAAAACTCGTTCATTTGTTAATCGAGCCGAGTTTGAACAGAAAATTAGGCTCGTTTAATAATCGAACGAACACGAGCTCGTTCGTGAACGTTTAATTATGTTCGCGAACATTAATTTAATATAATTTTATTTTATTTTTCATATATTTACATATTATTTTTATTGAAAAACCCTAAAATTTAATATAATTTTATTTATTTTCTATATATTTACATAATATTTTTAATAAAAAAAATAATATATAAAATTATTTTTATTTTGTTCTTTTATTTTCGAGTTCGGACGAACAAATTTCGAGTTAATCGACCATATTTAAAAAGTCTATATATTAAATTATTCGAACACGAACGAACTCGAACTTTGACGAACAATTAAATGAACAACTCGAACACAATTTTGTGCTCGAAAAATAAACGAACGAACACGAACACTGTTCGAAAGTAAACGAACACGAACTCGAACAACCCAAGCTCGGTTCGTTTCGGTTCGTTTACATCACTAATCACCATCAACATGGCCACTGGAGGTACTTGTGATTTCCAACTGCAACAAATTTAACATAATCGTATGAGAGAGTTCTACAGATACATAAGATAAAGATAGGGGGCAAATCACTTTTATGATACGGCGTGTCTTTTTGGAGATGCAAGTATCATCAAGTTCTGTTGGTTTCAGTATACTTTATTTAGAAATAACAGGGATATGGTTTCATTATAAAAACAATAAATCTTACCTCATAAATTACATAAAATTAATTTAATCAAATAAAATATTATAATGGTGCATTTTTTGCCCGTCATTTTGCCACTGTCTATTATTATATTATATTATTTTATAATATTATGATATAATGTATTACTAGTACAATACCCGTGTAATACACGGGTGATTAAAACACCGGCGGTTGCTTCGGGACGACCGGCGGGATGCTGTGCGTAAAAAAAAAATTATATTTAAAATATATGCAATTTGAAATATAAAGAATTGTCTAAGAGGATTCTATTGGACATACATATTAGGGAAAAAATCTTTTTCATCCCATAACAAAGACAAATTAAGTTTTTCACACCGTCCAATAAAAAGCTAAGTTTTTCACCCCAGAAAGTGCGAAGGTTATGCTAAAACTGTCGCATATTCATCGCATAACAGTCCGTATGCGAAGGTTATGCAAAATACTGTCGCATAACTGTCGCATATCAATTGCATAAATGTCGCATATTCATAGCACAATGTCTTTGCACAGTTATGCAATTGATATGCGGCAGTTATGCGACAGTTTTTCGCATAACGTTCGCATATGGACAGTTATGCGATGAATATGCGACAGTTTTCGCATAACCTTCGCACTTTCCAGGGTGAAAAAACTTAGTTTTTATTGAGCGGTGTAAAAAACTTAACAAGACTTCAAAACGGGGTGAAAATAGATATTTTCACTACATATTAAACATAAAAAAAATAATATTAATTGATAAATAATTGATATTTATGTTCCCCATGATTAAATATTTATTCAAATCCCGTGTAATACACTAGTATAAATCTCATGCGATGCACGTATAAGAGATATTCGTCTATATTTTTAAATCATTAAATAATTTTTAAAATGTAAAGTTATGGAATCAATATGCAATACAATATACCTATATTGATTTAATTAAAATATTATATGAAATTTAAATTGTGTAAAATTACAGACAACATGTCTATATAAAATTACTACACAACTCATACAATACACATAATTGATAATAAATTACATTATATTAATTCAAAATAAGTGTCATTTTAACATTTTTATTCAGAAATTTTGTTTGAATACAACGTGGTTCCATAAAGTAATTATTTTGGTAAAATTTTATTATACATTTAAAAATCTATGTGATTAATAAGTATAATATTAAAATTTATATTGTTTCATTAAGTGAATTATTTTTGTATAAACTATCCAAATTAAAAAAAAAATTAAGTAGTTGACTAATTAATTAAATTATAAATAATTGACTATTATATTTACGTCCAATTTAATGTTGACCCATAAGTTATGAATAGTACTTATTTGCATTTTAAATTTTAAATTTCGAATCCAAATATGGACTAAACAATAAATCCCATTATATATACCTACATCAAATAATCTAAATAAATTCACCCACTTTATATTATATGTTGATTAATTTATTTTCCATAGAAACAACTATCAAAAAATACCAAAAGTACATTCACTCACTTTATGTCATATATTAATTCATTCATTTCCCGTAGAAGATGCATCAAATACCAAAAATAAATTCGTCCACTTTATACCATACTAGTACTGACCCGTGCGATGCATGGGATGGTATATATATATATTCTTAATATCAACATTAAATTTAATGCACTTTGTAGATATGTAACAAATATAAAATGGAAAAAAACAAATTTAAAACTTCATAAATTAGCTTGTAAACACTTCTTTGTACACAATGTTTTGGATCTGATTTGGTGGCAAGTCATCGTCATTACAGACTAATATCTTTAACTCACTTCGATTGGTGACACGGGAGGCGGCAACATATAATTGTCCATGACTGAACACCGACTTCTTAAGCAATAAACCAACATGCGATAGCGATTGTCCCTGGCTCTTATTGATAGTCATGACATACGATACCATAATGGAAAATTGTCGCCTCTAGAATTTGAAAGGAATTCTGACATCGTAAACAAATTATAAAATGATTTTTTCCATTTCGCAATTAATAATTTTAGAATATTCTAATATTTTATCAATTATATTGCTATGGTATCAGCATTGTCGTGATTAATATTAAATCTATTTATTATGTGGTTTACGCTCTAAGTTGTCTTTATATGTAATATGATAATGAATTGTATATTGGAATAATACACTCGTAACAATATAAATGAATATTAACTTTTTTTGGTAATAAATCAATAATTGAATAACGCCAAAAAATGATATAACCAAAACAACAATATATATGCTGCATTTTATTCATAAAATATCCGAAATCATAAACATTATTGAAATAATAATAAGAAGATCGACAACTATAACTGTTGCAATCTTGGAAATTAACATCAACCTAATAATTGAAAACAAACGAAGACGTCCAAATTCAAATATTTTAACAAACTGAAATGAACCTAAATAATAATAATATATGTAAAGTAGAATCCTCAGCCACCGAGTCTAGACATCGACCTTCGCCTTTCCTTTATCGTTGGAAGCATCCACCCTCAACTTTCATTTATCAGTGAAGCAGATTGGGTCGTCAAAGCCAAAACTACGTCACTTGAATTGTTTAGTTCCTCCCAAAGGTTTCGTTTGGCTGCAGAAGTGTCACAAACTGCCTCCTTTTCAACAGCCACTTTCATAGGAGTAGTAACTTTATCAGCATCATCCTAACAAAACAAATAAATAAATAAACCAATATATAAACGTTTTATTTAACAAATAAAAAAATAAAAATATAACCCACATAACATTTGAAATACTTTAGTAAATTCAATACTTCTCCGGTCTCTTCTTGTTACCTCATAAATTACATAAAATTAATTTAATCAAATAACATATTATAATGGTGCATTTTTTGCCCGTCATTTTGCCCCTGTCTAATATTATATTATATTATAATATAATGTATTATATTAATTTTAACAATATCACCAATTTTTGTTGGACAGTATTGTCGCTCCGTTCACGATCCACATACCAGAACACGAGACTGTCATTTGTTATCTTGGTTCTTATGCACGCTACATTCGTCTAGATGTGTCTCCTAATTTTCTACTACCGCCTAATTGTAATCAGTGGTTTAGATTCCGAGATAGGACAATTGAAGGTTGGGAGAATTTGTACCAAAACAGGATTGAGTCGTGGCATAGAATTCATAGTGTATCTATATTATGATAGTTGGTCGTGTTTATTGTTGGATGGTGCACGAGCCGTGTGGAGACACACGAGTACTTATACGTTGATTGTTATGCATGTTTGTTATTGACTGAGACCGACTACGCATACGATGATTGTTATGGAATGTTTTAGTTGGAATGTAGTATAACATTTAGAAATAGATGAAATGAAATGAATTAACAAAAACTTAAAAAAAGACAACCATAAAATTGTCATGAATGTTTAACAATAAAATGAAGAAAAAACATTCATTACATCATTGGGTTGTTCTGTTCCAATCCAACTTAATTCCAACAATATGTATCTACAAAGGACACCACCAATTTAGGATTAAACCTCTGGCATTCCTGAAGGAGGTCTGATGTAGTAGCTTGGTAGCGATACACACCTACACAAAATATAAGAATTAATATATATGATCGCATATAAAATAAAAAATAATATAATGAAAGAACATTAACTAAAATTCAGTAAACAACTTATATAATCGGTATTGGCACGCATAGGGATCTAGTGCTAGTC